AGTCAAGCCACACATTGTGGTGACGAGGTTCCACTCAAGTCAAGGTCCGCCGTGCGGTGGACATTCCCCTCTCTCTCTCTCTCTGGGATCAACTCACGGTCCCTGTTAAACGATACTGGAAACTCTCCCGTGACCCGGACGCCTGCATGTTCCATCATCACACCTGGTGGCGTATCACTCCCTCTTCTAGCAGTCATCATCCTCCGCCATCCCTCTTCATTGCCCCCATCACCCCCTGCCATCCCATATCATCGAATTACATCCTTCGCCTGGTATGCAGGATGTCGTGGTTTCGATCCCGACCCTGAACGCCTGCTGTATATTTGGAGTTTGCGCCTCTCTCTCTCTCTCCGTGGTCGCGTGGATTTTTCTCCGGACCCTCCGGTTTTTTTTTCCTCTACATTTAGAATAAACATCACGGACCTAGAGCATTCGGCTGCTCTACATTTCCACGTGATGATAAGCCACTTTGTTGTGATGTAATGTTTGGTCAGGTCGCTTCTGAAAAGGAGCTGCATTGCTCAGTGAGCCTTACCTGGGAGGGTTAAAAAAATAGTTTATAGTTTTAATTGTATCCCATCAATGCAGGTTTATAGTTTACATAACCCCCCTCCCTCCATCACCCCGCTGAATCGTACATCTCTACATCTTCCCACTCCATTCCGCATGAAACTCTCCCCACCTAATATCCATTACAACCCCCCCCATCATCATACTCTCCGTTATCTCTCTCCATCCCCATCCTACCCCCACCACCGCCTCTCCCACCGCCCCCCCTCCCAACGATCCAGCATCATCTCCCTCCCAACTCTCCCAATGCATCACCCACCCCTCCCAATGATCCAGCATCATCTCCCTCCCAACTCTCCCGATTCATCACCCCCCCCCCCCCCCAACGATCCAGAATCATCACCCACCCCTCCCAATGATCCAGCATCATCTCCCTCCCAACTCTCCCGATTCATCACCCCCCCCCAACTCTCACGATTCATCACCCCCCCTACCAATGATCCAGAATCATCACCCCCCCTCCCAACGATCCAGAATAATCTCCCTCCCAACTCTCCCGATTCATCACCCCCCCCCAACTCTCCCGATTCATCACCCCCCCCCCCCAACGATCCAGAATCATCACCCACCCCTCCCAACGATCCAGAATCATCACCCACCCCTCCCAATGATCCAGAATCATCTCCCTCCCAACTCTCCCGATTCATCAACCCACCCCTCCCAATGATCCAGATTCATCTCCCTCCCAACTCTCCCGATTCATCACCCACCCTCCCAATGATCCAGAATCATTTCCCTCCCAGAATCTCCCGATGCATCACCCTCCCAATGATCCAGAATCATCTCCCTCCCAAACTCTCCCGAATCATCATCACCCCCCCCCCCCCCCCCAACTCTCCCGATTCATCACCCCCCCCCCCAATGATCCAGAATCATCACCCACCCCTCCCAATGATCCAGATTCATCTCCTCCCAACTCTCCCGATTCATCACCCCCCCCCCCCCCCCCAATGATCCAGAATCATCAACCCACCCCTCCCAATGATCCAGATTCATCTCCCTCCCAACTCTCCCGATTCATCACCCACCCCTCCCAATGATCCAGAATCATTTCCCTCCCAAATCTCCCGATGCATCACCCTCCAATGATCCAGAATCATCTCCCTCCCAACTCTCCCGAATCATCACCCCCCCCCAACTCTCCCGATTCATCACCACCCCCCCCCCAATGATCCAGAATCATCACCCACCCCTCCCAATGATCCAGATTCATCTCCCTCCCAACTCTCCCGATTCATCACCCCCCCCCCCCCCCCCAATGATCCAGAATCATCACCCACCCCTCCCATGATCCAGATTCATCTCCCTCCCAACTCTCCCGATTCATCACCCCCCCCCCCCCCAATGATCCAGAATCATCACCCACCCCTCCCAATGATCCAGATTCATCTCCCTCCCAACTCTCCCGATTCATCACCCACCCCTCCCAATGATCCAGAATCATTTCCCTCCCAAATCTCCCGATGCATCACCCTCCCCAATGATCCAGAATCATCTCCCTCCCAACTCTCCCGAATCATCACCCCCCCCCAACTCTCCCCGATTCATCACCCCCCCCCCCCCCCCCCAATGATCCAGAATCATCACCCACCCCTCCCAATGATCCAGATTCATCTCCCTCCCAACTCTCCCGATTCATCACCCCCCCCCCCCCCCCCCAATGATCCAGAATCATCACCCACCCCTCCCAATGATCCAGATTCATCTCCCTCCCAACTCTCCCGATTCATCACCCCCCCCCCCCCCCAATGATCCAGAATCATCACCCACCCCTCCCAATGATCCAGATTCATCTCCCTCCCAACTCTCCCGATTCATCACCCACCCCTCCCAATGATCCAGAATCATTTCCCTCCCAAATCTCCCGATGCATCACCCTCCCAATGATCCAGAATCATCTCCCTCCCAACTCTCCCGAATCATCACCCCCCCCCAACTCTCCCGATTCATCACCCCCCCCCCCCAATGATCCAGAATCATCACCCACCCCTCCCAATGATCCAGATTCATCTCCCTCCCAACTCTCCCGATTCATCACCCCCCCCCCCCCCAATGATCCAGAATCATCACCCACCCCTCCCAATGATCCAGATTCATCTCCCTCCCAACTCTCCCGATTCATCACCCCCCCCCCCCCCCAATGATCCAGAATCATCACCCACCCCTCCCAATGATCCAGATTCATCTCCCTCCCAACTCTCCCGATTCATCACCCACCCCTCCCAATGATCCAGAATCATTTCCCTCCCAAATCTCCCGATGCATCACCCTCCCAATGATCCAGAATCATCTCCCTCCCAACTCTCCCGAATCATCACCCCCCCCCAACTCTCCCGATTCATCACCCCCCCCCCCCCCCCCAATGATCCAGAATCATCACCCACCCCTCCCAATGATCCAGATTCATCTCCCTCCCAACTCTCCCGATTCATCACCCCCCCCCCCCCCCCAATGATCCAGAATCATCACCCACCCCTCCCAATGATCCAGATTCATCTCCCTCCCAACTCTCCCGATTCATCACCCACCCCTCCCAATGATCCAGAATCATTTCCCTCCCAAATCTCCCGATGCATCACCCTCCCAATGATCCAGAATCATCTCCCTCCCAACTCTCCCGAATCATCACCCCCCCCCAACTCTCCCGATTCATCACCCCCCCCCCCCCCCCCCAATGATCCAGAATCATCACCCACCCCTCCCAATGATCCAGATTCATCTCCCTCCCAACTCTCCCGATTCATCACCCCCCCCCCCCCAATGATCCAGAATCATCACCCACCCCTCCCAATGATCCAGATTCATCTCCCTCCCAACTCTCCCGATTCATCACCCCCCCCCCCCCCCAATGATCCAGAATCATCACCCACCCCTCCCAATGATCCAGATTCATCTCCCTCCCAACTCTCCCGATTCATCACCCACCCCTCCCAATGATCCAGAATCATTTCCCTCCCAAATCTCCCGATGCATCACCCTCCCAATGATCCAGAATCATCTCCCTCCCAACTCTCCCGAATCATCACCCCCCCCCAACTCTCCCGATTCATCACCCCCCCCCCCCCCCCCCAATGATCCAGAATCATCACCCACCCTCCCAATGATCCAGATTCATCTCCCTCCCAACTCTCCCGATTCATCACCCCCCCCCCCCCAATGATCCAGAATCATCACCCACCCCTCCCAATGATCCAGATTCATCTCCCTCCCAACTCTCCCGATTCATCACCCCCCCCCCCCCCAATGATCCAGAATCATCACCCACCCCTCCCAATGATCCAGATTCATCTCCCTCCCAACTCTCCCGATTCATCACCCACCCCTCCCAATGATCCAGAATCATTTCCCTCCCAAATCTCCCGATGCATCACCCTCCCAATGATCCAGAATCATCTCCCTCCCAACTCTCCCGAATCATCACCCCCCCCAACTCTCCCGATTCATCACCCCCCCCCCCCCCCCCCAATGATCCAGAATCATCACCCACCCCTCCCAATGATCCAGATTCATCTCCCTCCCAACTCTCCCGATTCATCACCCCCCCCCCCCCCCCAATGATCCAGAATCATCACCCACCCCTCCCAATGATCCAGATTCATCTCCCTCCCAACTCTCCCGATTCATCACCCCCCCCCCCCCCAATGATCCAGAATCATCACCCACCCCTCCCAATGATCCAGATTCATCTCCCTCCCAACTCTCCCGATTCATCACCCCCCCCCCCCCAATGATCCAGAATCATCACCCACCCTCCCAATGATCCAGATTCATCTCCCTCCCAACTCTCCCGATTCATCACCCCCCCCCCCCCCAATGATCCAGAATCATCACCCACCCCTCCCAATGATCCAGATTCATCTCCCTCCCAACTCTCCCGATTCATCACCCACCCCTCCCAATGATCCAGAATCATTTCCCTCCCAAATCTCCCGATGCATCACCCTCCCAATGATCCAGAATCATCTCCCTCCCAACTCTCCCGAATCATCACCCCCCCCCAACTCTCCCGATTCATCACCCCCCCCCCCCCCCCCAATGATCCAGAATCATCACCCACCCCTCCCAATGATCCAGATTCATCTCCCTCCCAACTCTCCCGATTCATCACCCCCCCCCCCCCCCAATGATCCAGAATCATCACCCACCCCTCCCAATGATCCAGATTCATCTCCCTCCCAACTCTCCCGATTCATCACCCCCCCCCCCCCCCAATGATCCAGAATCATCACCCACCCCTCCCAACTCTCCCGAATCATCACCCCCTCCCAACTCTCCCGATTCATCATCCACCCCCCTCCTCCGCACTCCGCGCATCCACCCAACGCCAACCCCGGCCACGTGACCCTGCCGCGAGCGCGCGAAGCCACGCCACGCCACGCACTACTTGGCGCGCGCGGACGCACACCGCCCACCCACCCCCACCCCTTGCATCGGAGGAGCGCGCCCGTTGTCGTGGTGCGTTGCGCGCGCCGCGTCACGCGGAATGCCGGAGATATCCCTCCGCGCGTGGCGGCGCACGGGGAGCTCGTGGAGGAGGTTGAGGGGGGGGAGGTCGGGAGCGGTTCCGCGCACATCGAAGCAGGCGGGCAGCGTCGACTCTTCCACAACACCTCCTCACCCCCCCCCCCGCTACAAACTCTGCCATCATAGCGCGCTCTGTCTCTCTCGCCTCTTGCAGGCGAGCAAGCGGTGAAAGGAATCGCGGGCGTCTAACACAGACAGCGGCAGCAGCGGCGGCAGCATCAGAGTCGTCACCGCCACCCGCTGCTTCATGGCTCCACCGCCGCGCACGGAGCCGGGCGGGCGCGAGTGACTCCCCGCCGGAGCGGATGATTATACTATCACCTCGTCGCTAACGTCGTCGTCGTCGTCATCATCATCATCTCCTCGTCCCCACCATCCCGCGGGTGGGAACGGCGGTCACGAGTGGCGCTCCCCCATCGCCTCTTCGACCATCGTCTCGGTCGGCAGTCTTTCATCGCCTCCCTCCCACGTTCTTCATCTCCTACATCGTCACCCTTCGCCTCCACCTCCTTCATACCCTGACCGACGGGGAGTGGCGACGGAGGGCAAGCGACTCCCCCCCCCCCCTGTTCCGCTCTCCCATCACCACCACCACCTCCATCATCATCATCATCCTCCTCCATCCCCCACCTCTCGCTCACCACACGTCCATCATCCCGCATCACCCTCCATCATCTTACTCCTATCACCTCCATCACAGCACCGGTGAAGAAGGAGGTCACCGAGACGAGGAGCCGGCAGCAGCAGCAGCAGCAGGAGGAGCAGCAGGAGGAGGTTACCCAGGCTGAAGCTTCCCCACCCTCGACATGGGCTCCTGCGAGAAGGACTTCGCCTCCACGGCGGCCGAGGGGCCACTGCGGCTGCGGCGGTCGGGCCCCGGGGCCCAGGACGTGCGGGGGGACGCGAGGCTGGGGGGGTCCCGGGGGGTCGTCCTGCACGGGGGGGGCCCCCCCGCCGGGCCGCCTCGAGAGTTCGAGGCCGGGCCCGGGTACCCCGCGGGGCACGGGGACGTCGCGGCCGTGCTCGCTGGGCTCCGCATCTACGGCGACGGCGGGCACGGCAGGTCAGTGGGTGACGGCGGAGGGGTTACGTGTACGGTGGTGGGGGGTGGTGGTGGTGGTGGGGGGAGTGGTGGTGGTGGGGGGAGTGGTGTTGGGTGGTGGTGGGGGGGGAGTGTTGTTGGGGGGGGGGGGGTGGTGGGGAGTTGTTGGGTGGTGGTGGGTGGGGAGTGTTGTTGGGGGTGTTGGGGGGAGTGTTGTTGGGTGGTGGGGGGAGTTATATTGGGGGGGGGGGTGGGGGGGAGTGTTGTTGGGGGGGTGTTGGGGGGAGTTGTTGGGTGGTGGGGGGGGGGGAGTGTTGTTGGGTGGTGGTGGGGGGGAGTGTTGTTGGGGGGGGGGTGGTGGGGAGTGTTGTTGGGGGGGGGGTGGGGAGTGTTGTTGGGTGGTGGTGGGGGGGGAGTGTTGTTGGGTGGTGGTGGGGGGGGGAGTGTTGTTGGGGGGGGGGGGTGGGGAGTGTTGTTGGGTGGTGGTGGTGGGGAGTGTTGTTGGGTGGTGGTGGTGGGGAGTGTTGTTGGGTGGTGGTGGGGGGGGGGAGTGTTGTTGGGGGGGGGGGTGGGGAGTGTTGTTGGGTGGTGGTGGGGGGGGAGTGTTGTTGGGGGGGGGGGTGGGGAGTGTTGTTGGGTGGTGGTGGGGGGGGAGTGTTGTTGGGGGTGTTGGGGGGAGTGTTGTTGGGTGGTGGTGGGGGGGAGTTATATTGGGGGGGGTGGTGGGGAGTGTTGTTGGGGGGGGGTGGGGAGTGTTGTTGGGGGGGGTGGTGGGGGGGAGTGTTGTTGGGGGGGGGGGTGATGGGGAGTGTTGTTGGGTGGTGGTGGGGGGGGGAGTGTTGTTGGGGGTGGTGGTATTGGGGGGGTGTTGGTGGGGAGTGTTGTTGGGGGGGTGGTGTTGGTGGGGAGTGTTGTTGGGGGGTGTTGGTGGAGGGGTGGTGGTGGTGAGTGTTGGTGGAGGGGTGGTGGTGGTTTGAGGGAGTGTTGGTGGGGGGGTGGTGGTGGTGGGGAGTGTTGGGGTGGAGGGGCTGGGTCATGTAGCCCGCATGCCCAGCCACCGCATGCCGAAACAGCTTTTGTTCGGCCGGATCGAGGGGGCTAAGCGGGCGCGGCACGGGCTAGAGAAGAGATGGAGTGATGTGGTACAGGAGGACGTGGAGCTGAGTGGACTTGCCGATGACTGGTACCAGCGGTGTCAAGATCGGCCTCTGTGGAGGAGGCTCGTGAAGGACGCTACTGGGCAGTTGGAGGCAGTCGCCCTCCAACAACAACGGAGGGCGGAGGAGCGACGCTCACAACAACGAGCGGAGCGCCGGGTGGCTAAAGCACAGCAGGTTGGCACAGTAGGGGGCACAGGCGGTGCATCAGCCAGTCATCTCAGTCAGTCGACCCGTGGCACCTGGGTCTGCCCCGTGACCTCCTGCCAGCGGGCGTTCGACACTTCACGTGGCCTCACGGTGCACATAGCCTGGCACAAGCGTCGTGGTGACGTCACCGCCACTTAGTGGCGAATGGCGGTTGTTGTTGTTGTTGGGGGTGGTGGTGGTGAGGGAGTGTTGGTGGTAGGGGTGTTGGTGGGGGGGGTGTTGGTGGGGGGGGTGTTGGTGGGGGGGTGTTGGTGGGGGGGTGTTGGTGGGGGGGTGGTGGTGGGAGGGTTGTTGGTGGGGGGGGGGGTGGTGGGGGGGGTGTTGGTGGGGGGGTGGTGGTGAGTGTTTTTTGGGTTGTGGTGGGGGGACTGTTGGTGGGGTGGTGGTGATCGAGTGGGGAGCGGTGGCGCAGCGGTTAGCGCGCCGCACGACGAACCCTGCGACCCGCGTCGCGATCCCCGCTCGCAGCCCTACAACAACCGGTGACGATTATCGGAACCGATCCTGGGCCTCCCCTAGGTCGACTCTGCCTCAAATGAGTACCTGGCGCGGTGTGTAGTAAACATCGCCATTGGGGAGACAAAGGCGGTCGGGCGTGGTGCTGGCCACCCACCCCCTCGTGTACCGTTCCGGCCTTCGTAGGTGCTCGCTAACCGCACTTGCCCCAACAGTCTGTTAAGGCTACACGGGGAGGTGGGGGGGGGTCTTTGTCTTTGTTGTGTTTGTCTGTTTTCGAGCGTGTTCATGTGTATGGGCACAGTGTTGGCACAGTGCCGCATCCTCTACCAGTCATCTCAGTCAACCTATAAACACCTGGGTCTGTCCCATGACCTGCCGTCGTGTCTACCGCACACTTCAAGTGGCCTCGAAGTGCACCTAGCCTGGCACAAGCGCCGCGGTGACGTCACCGCCACTTCGTGGCTGGCGAATGGCGGCTGTTGTGTTGTCGTTGTGAATGGAAGGCTGTGATCGGTATGTGTACGTGTCTGTGATCGGTGTGTGTACGTGTCTGTGATTGAGTGAGTGAGTGTGTGCCTGTGTATGTGGGGAGCGATAGTGTAGCGGTTAGTTCGGTTCCCGCTCACGGCCAACGCCAGTGACGATTATCTGAACCGGTCCTGGACCTCCCCTAGGTCGACTCAGCCTCAAATGAGTACCTGGAGGGATGTGTAAACATCGCCACTAAGGAGACAAATGCGGCCGGGCGTGGTGCTGGCCACCCACCACCTCGTGCGACGTGCCGGCTATCATAGGTGCTTTGCTAACAACACTTGCCCCAACAGTCTATTAAAGGCTACACGGGGGACCTTTGCCTTTGCTACTATATGCAAGTGATCGTGTGGGGGAGATTGGGCCACATCAGTGTGTGACCCACACAGGTCTGCTGGATAAAGGACCCTCCCCATGCAGTAAACCCTTCTCTCACAGTCTCGTCATCCCACAATGAAACACGCATACCGTTCAAACCATGCATCAAGGTTGGGATCGGACCCACGACCTCCTGCATTCCATGCGAGGTAGTTAACATCTCCACCACCGCGGCGCCCCTCTCCATTGGTTGCCATTCTGTCACGAGTTATCCATTGCCCCATTATCGCTTCTGGCGAATGTGTCTTGGTCAAGGCCGCCGACTTTTCTTAACAGTCGTTATGTTATAATCTTTATAATTTAACATTTGTCTGCTGTTCCACGCACTCTGCTTCCTGATCTGATTTCGACCATGTGCATCTCCACGCGTTGTTGTTGCCTCTTCATCCTTTGTTCCATTTTCTGAATTGGTGCTCATGATTCAGATCATGATTCAAGTATGTATGTTGAACTTTCGCACCGTACGTAGCCAACCATGCTGATAGCTTTCTTGCAATGAACATCATTGCAAGATAATTTTCACTGTACTCATGTTCTTAATTTCTCCACCGTCTTGAGATATATTTTTTTTACATGGCTAATGCAAGCGTATAATGCGATGATACTCTTTTAAAAATATAGTCACCAGAACTATAATTTTTGATGCACAGAGCATCTATGCAAACATGTCAGAGTGTGTAATTATATATATGTTTATGTTTCAAAATAAAGACATTGGCAGAGGAAATGAGGAAGGACTTGAACAGGGGAAGTGGGTTTGACAGCAAGAAGTATCTCGTGGGAGGGATTTTCAGACAACGGCTGCAGCAGAGGAAAAGGAGCAACCTCTCGCATGAGATTCCGGCTCGAGGGGTGTAGAGTTAGATAAGAGAGGGAAGAGTCAGGCAGGGGTTAAAGTGCCCATCGTGGGGATCTTCAAAAACACAGCGAGTGTGATCCTGTAGTTTGATCCAGCCCTGAATTGTGAGCCAGAGTTTTGGGAAGATGTGGCCTTGGCTCAATTGCAGATCAACGCAAGAAGTCTGGCGGTGACATTTTTGGATAATCTGGAGTTGAGATGATGGATGTTAAGAGGACGTAGAGGTGGCGTGCGTGACTTTAGGTGCCCTTTACACTCTGGCCCCGGGGGGGTGGGGTCTTTAGAGCCAGACTAGCTCATCATTGAAACATCTGGCTCCAACGTGTACCTTGGCCTGGGTGAGAGGTGTTTGGCTCAGGTATTGGTGGCTCCTTTTTGTGCAGCAGGGTTCATTCTTTGCATGAACACACACTTGTAGTGCATAAAATAGCCAAGCGACACATTGCCTTTGTTATTTAAAGCTGTACAAGTTCACGGGGTGGTGGTGGGGGGAGAAATCAATGGATGCATTTTATCGAACTACCCACAAGGGTTCATATTCTTGGTTCTTTCGGTAAAGTCACGTAGAAGGGAAACAATAAAATAATAAAAATACAAAAAAATAAAATTCTCACGACGTTTCGACTGCAACACCTGATGATGATTGCTTGTGTTGCAGTCGAAACGTCGTGAGTATTTTATTGTTTTATATTTTTATTATTTTATTGTTTCCCTTCTACGTGGTGACTTTACCGAAAGAGCCAAGAATATGAATCCCTGCAGTCACGAAAGCTTTAAATAAAAATACATCCACAAGGGCTTTGCGCCATTTAGCTGTGTGGATGGACGGGGTCTGCATCTCCCAGTGCGGTCGCCTCCAGTGGAGGAGGAACCTCCCGTGGGGGGGTTTAAGCCTTTGGTGGGCAGAGCTGAATATTTTTTTCTCCTTTTCTGCCGTCCCACTTAATTTGTTCAAAGTTCGCCAAATCGGCTCAACACTTGGTGACATCCTTTTAATTGGTCGTTAACGTCACCGCGACACTATGATAATTGTGCACCCCCCCCCCCCCCATTATCATGATAGTTATCGTTAGCGGTGCTGATTATCTAATTATCGGGTCACGCGTATATGGCCTGCTGTGTAGGGCCCGGCTATGCCGAGAGCATTTATTGTACACGGTGACTCTGAAGTGGCTTGCCAAGCGTTGGCTATTTTGGAGTTCCTGTGTCGAGAAATTACTCTCGGTTTTTGGTCCTGGAGCTCACAACATTTAATTAGCGGCCGTTAAAAAAAATTGTCGTACCCCGCTCACTCATTTGTTTAAATGTTCTCCCATTCCCCCCCCCCCTCCCTGTCACATTCCGTTTTGCTGATGCCATGATTGCACAGTCTGCATATTCCGCAAGTTAGTGAACCGGGGTTTGGGGTGGGGGGGAACTTTAAAAGT